ACTGGAACCCAAAAGGTATACGTTTTCCCGAGAGGCTCCAACAAAGTTGGCCCATGAGGTAGAGCAGCCCCTGCCTCGGCTCAGCCTCTGCTACGCTGAGCCAAGCCATGCTTCCCACACTGGCCTCTGTGTAGCTGTATCTCAGCAAGAATGCAAGTTGGGGAGAGAAGCCAGATCCTTGGGATTGTTCTAGAGAATAGAAACCTCAGAGTAGCCCTCCTTAGACCACCTAACGCATCGCATCACTGAGTACATTTAAGGGACTCGATGCTGGTAGGATTGTTAGGAATGATGCAAGTTAAAACAGTGCCCACGTTTATCGTTAGAACAAGATTCTCAGCTGACAGTTGCCTGGGAGTTTGATTTTATTCTCCTCAACCTGTCACTCCACTCAAGTCCACATCTCTCAAGGCTACACACGCATGGAGGACTGATTACAAAGCCAAAGCCTTGTCCCCGATCTGAATCTTTTGGCATTGTTGAGAAAGCAGCTTACTTGGACTGATTCAGCAGGCCAAATTTAGAACAAACAAAGATTTTAACTATCTCCCTTTATAAATTACTGAACTATTTTGTAGCTAGGCTACTCTTAATATGAACAAAAAATACTATAAAACTTTGTTGTTAATTGTAAACTATAAAATCAGTAATTGTTACCATGTGAAATGACTTTGGATGAAGGAGATGCATTTTTACCCCTTCTCAGGGTTTAGGAGAGACAAAATTGTGAGATTTTAACTCTGAATCTTTTAGAGATTTAACTCCAATCTGAGTTAAAGATTTTAACTCTAATAAGGGGTTCTTATTAGAGGTGGTTTTGTTCCTCCTGACCCCTAGAGGACATTTAGCAATGTGCGGAGGTATTCTTTATCATCATTACTTGGGTGGGCAGATGCTACTGTGCCCAGGGAGACTGCTAAACATTCTACAGTGTACAAAACAGTTCCTCATGACAAATAATTATCCAGCCCCAAAATGTCAGTAGTACTGAGGTTGAGAAACGCTCCTTTAAACTCTTGGGCTTATTTGCTGACCTTTGTGGTGGATCAGCTTTTACTTAGTTCATGCAGAGGTGAAATTAATACTAGTGCTTGAATATGTCGTTTGTATTCTGGACTTGGCCTGGATCCCCTGACCAAGTTTGGGACAAGCTCTTGCCATGTGTTGAGGACCTGAATTCAGGCAGCTAACAACAGCATCTGAACGTGTTCCCAGTGAAGGAGACGAGCCCATGTGCTAGGAAGCGCATAGGCTACATGAGGAATAGAGAGGAAAGCCGCAGCGTGGAGCCCTGCTCTTCAGAGTGTGCTTGGAGAACAAGCAGTGGCCGCATTATTGGGGAGCTTGATGGAGATGCCCCTCTCAGACTTGCTGAGTCAGAATCTTTAATTTAGCAAGATCCCCAGTGAGGCTTGTGCATGTGGACATAGAGAAGCACAGGGTAAACTTTTTTTTTTTTTTTAAACTTTGGAGGAAAATACACGTTTTTTCACATCATGGCTCTGACTCTTACTACTTGTGTGACCTTGGCCGAGTTATAAAGCCTCACTGCACCTTACTTATTTTAGCTGGAAATGGAAATAATAATATCACCTGTCCTATGAGAGCGTTGTAAGAATCAAACAAGCTTATTTGTGTCAAGAACCTGTATGGTAAAAGCTCAACAAACTGTTGCTAGTGAAAATAAGAAAAAGATTGCAAAAGCAGAAAACATTAGGGAGACAGTTTAGGTCTTAAACCTCTCATTTGCCATCACCAAACAATACTTGTATTTTTGCAGATTCAGTTTCTCTGAATACTAAAATAAAACCGGAGTTTCATACACTGCTATAGACAGTGGTCCTTGTCAGTAGTCGGCAGAGAGTAAATGGATCTGGGGACAAGCAGCCGCAACTGCTGGGCGTGTTCCCTCCTCCAGGCCTGAGGTACACCTGCTCATTGTGATTCTGAATTTGAAAGGAACATGGTAGGAAGTTTCCTGGGAAGAGGAAGGCTGTGGTAAACAGGAAGGCTGAGATTAGAAGAAGGAGTTTAGGTGAGGTGAGCCCTTGTTTTACTGGTAGGGTTTAAGAATATCCAAGTCAGCCAGGCTCGGTGGCTCACACCTATAATCCTAGCACTTTGGGAGGCTGAGGCAGGTGGATTACCTGAGGTAAGGAGTTTGAGACCAGCTTGACCAACATGGTGAAAACCCATCTCTCCTAAAATACAAAAATTAACCAGGCGTGGTGGTGCATGCCTGTAATCCCAGCTACTCACTGGGGAGTCTAAGGCAGAAAAATCACTTGAACCTGGGAGGCAGAGGTTGCAGTGAGCCAAGATCGTGCTATTGCACTCCAGCCTGGGGGACAGAGCAAGACTCCAACTCAAAAAAAAAAAAAAAAAAAAAAAAAGAATATCCAGGTCAACCCCACCTAACTCTCAACAGTGCTCTCCCCTGTTGCCTAGCTGGGTCCTGGGTTCTCTTGACGCACATGAGTTGTGAGAGTGCATGCCATGCCAGCCAGACCACCTCATAGGAATTAGTTTTCGGAAATGAGACTCTTGTAAACCAGTGGGAGATACGCTTCTAAGGTGAGGTAAAGCAGAACTTGAATCACAACTGCAGTGTCCCACAGAATTCCAAGAGCCAAGATGGTAAAAGAATTAAAAAAAGGAAAAAGGGAAAGGGCTCAAATGAAAGACTTCACGCTGCAGAATAAAATTAAATAAAAGGATGAAATTGAACTATATCATATTCAGTAATGACTAATCCTAAGTATACAGGTTTTGGCAGGGGAAGGGATTTGTTTTCTAAGTGTTTTGCAGGAAAATATTTTTTCCATCTTTGATTTTAATTAGAATAGATTTGCATTATTTTTCCTTAGTTTTTATTTTTAAAATATTTATTGCCACAAATTTATAAAATAGAGGGAAAACATAAATAACAGCACATGTAAACCCGGTACTTCTGTTCCTTCTCTTATTCAACAGTTATTTCTTAGGCCCCTGCTGGGTGTGAGCAGCTGTGCTCAGTGATGACTTTGCCTTGCTGGCAAGGTAGCAAGGTTCTAACCTTGTTAGGGCTTATAGTTGAGTAGCTGAAATTTCTATGTCTTTTCTGTGCCCCTAGTAAATATATGATAGCGAACAACAAGAGCTTTTTTTTTTTTTATTGTGTTCTTAGTCCTGTTCTCAGTGGTTTATAGCCTATTAACTCAGTCTCTTTACCACCACTCTGAGGGGAGGCACTGTCATACCCACCTGACAGATTGGGAAGTGGAAGCATCAGAAGGTTGAGCAACTTGCTAAAGATCACAAAATCAAAAATGACAGAATCTTTAAAAAAAATGTATCATACTTTAAGTTTTGGGATACATGTGCAGAACATGCAGGTGTGTTACATAGGTATATACGTGCCATGGTGGTTTGCTGTATCCGTCACTCCATATCATCTACATTAGGTATTTCTCCTAATGCCATCCCTCCCCAATCCCCCCTACCCCCTGCTATCCCTCCCCTAGCCCCCCACCTCCCAATAGGCCCTGATGTGTGATGTTCCGTTCCATGTGTTCTCATTGTTCAGCTCCCACTTATGAGTGAGAACATGTAGTGTTTGGTTTTCTGTTCTTGTGTCAGCTTGCTGAGAATAATGGTTTCCAACTTCATCCATGTCCTTGCAAAGGACATAAACTCATCCTTTTTTATGGCTGCATAGTATTCCGTGGTGTATATGTGCCACATTTGCTTTATCCAGTTTATCATTGATGAGCATTTGGGTTGGTTCCAAGTCTTATTGTGAACAGTGCCACAATAAACATACTTGTGCATGTGTCTTTATAATAGAATGATTTATAACTTTTTTCATATACACTCATTGCTGGGTCAAATAGTATTTCTATTTCTAGATCCTTGAGGAATCACCATACTGAATGACAGAGTCTTGATTAGAATCTTGGCAACCTGACTCCAGAACCTGCCCTATTAATCACTAAACTATACTGCCTCTCATAATATGTATCAAATTGAGGTGATACTTTATAGATAATTTCAACAGTACAAAGGAACATTCTCCTATTATGCATGTAAACCCCCAAAAGATGTAGAATTTTCATCTATTCATTTGTTTGATAGGACCATAATGAAATAAGACTCTATAAAGCTGTGTAATTCAGACATAGGAAACGTTTGGATTATAGTGGTATCTAGTGGGAAGCAAATGGTCTTCTGAATCAGAAAGATGTGAGCTAGACTATGCCAGGGGACCTACTTACTCACTGTATGGCTTTGGGCAAGTTACCGAGCCTCAGTTTCCTTTCCAGGCTAATACCTGCCTTCTGGACTTGCCATCAGGATTAAACGAGTCTACCTGTATAAAATGCACGGCACAGTGCCCAGCACTTGGTAGAGGGTCTGTTAATGGTCACTGTTATTACGGGCTATTCAATGCATTTTAATCTTCTTTCAGAATACCTGGCCAGATAGCACAGTAGTTAAGAATGCACATGAGAGCCAGACTGTTGGGTTCTAGTCCTGGCTCAACTCCTTCCTAGCTCTGTGACATTAGGCAAGTTGTATAAACTCCCTGTGACTCGGTTTAAACTATCTTTAAAACGGGATAGTTACAATACTTATGTCTTAGAGTTTTGCGGGTGTTAAATTATTATACATAAAGCTCTGAGAACAGTTTGGTACACGGTAGGCACTGTATGAACGTTTTCTATAATTAATAATATTAAATAACATTTTCAGAAGAAGTTGAAAATATCACACCTTAAAAAGCAGGTATCTTTAAATACTTCCTCAGCTACTGAAGTTTTGCTTGCTATTTGACGTATCATTTTTTCATGTTTGTGGCTCAGACATGGCTTATTTCAATGCGTATTAACACATGAATTTTAAGTTTGGTGATCTTATTATATTTCATCTGAATGAACAGAATTTGCTGATTTGGCACTGTGTTTGAGCATGCATTTTATGTTGAAAAATGACAATTCTGGAATGTTCTTTTCCCTCTCCAGATTATTCAGAGCTGGGAGAGCTTCCCCCACGATCTCCTTTAGAACCAGTTTGTGAAGATGGACCCTTTGGCCCTGCACCAGAGGAAAAGAAAAGGACATCTCGTGAGCTCCGAGAGCTGTGGCAAAAGGCTATTCTTCAACAGATACTGCTGCTCAGGATGGAGAAGGAAAATCAGAAGCTCCAAGGTTGGTTTGCCATCTTGCTATTGAGCAGGCCTGGTCTTACCTAGGCTCTAAAGTGAATCACATCAGACGTAGCATGCTGTCTTAAAAATATAGCAGCATGATAGTCTAATGTACACATCTATCTATAGTGTCTGTTTACTGTTTCAGAGTCTTATTAACACTGTTTACCTTTTGGTGATCTAATGATAGTTTCACCAACTGTGTTCATTATTCCTATATGGTCACCATTTGTACAGTGTTTAGAAATTCCGAGATACAAGCTTTAAATCTGAGCTCTAACACTCTGAAAGGTGTTTGTTTTGTTTCATCCCCCCGTCCCCCACTCCCTCTCGCTCTCTCAACTTTATCCTCAGCCATAGTCTGCGCCTGTGTGTTACGTATGAACTTTTCTTGTGTAAGTCATTAAAATGCATAACTTTATGTGCTTTTTCAGTGAGTTGCAAGTAATCAGAAAAAAAAAAAAAAACATTAGCTGAGCTCTACCTGTACTGATATCAATAGTGTCAAAATATGAACTTGTAAAGTTTAGAATTTGTTCATTTCCTGTTTCCATACTGACACTGGAACCAATTAATATTATCTTCAAAGTAGCGTAAGACACAAAGTTTACGTACCCTTTGGAAAGAGCATGGGTTTTAGGGTGTCTAGACAACTGCCCCGCTATGAAGTCATGAAGATTTTGAGCAGGAAGTCTGCATAGTCCCTTTCAAAGGGAAGACGTAGCAGGTGGTTCAGTTATACTGCCATTCCCCAGAACAATTTTGGAATTAAAGTACCTTTCATTCAGCATCATCTTTGATTGCAGACTTTGGTCTTTTAAAATGACCTTGTTGCTTTTAGAGCTGAAAGTCATTCAGACACCAAGTCTGAGGAATAAGCTCCCAAGAATGTGTTGCATCCCGTGAGTTTCAGTTCATAGCTAGTGTCATAGCGAGTGAATAGACGTTCTCTGTGCATGTCCATGAGATACTTGTGAGTTATGACAACACTGGGTACCGGAAACATAGTTTCTGCAGTTGAAAAGTACGAATTCATAGGCTGTAAAGAGATAGTGTCTGTATATTTTGACTGGAAACAAAAAATGAAATATAAAGGCATAAGAACTGCCGACATGAAAGTAGTCCCTTAGTTGGAATAGGTTAGTAAGCTTTCCTGTATGCAGTTGTGAAGCTGAGAAAGACAGGTCCTCCCATCAGGGTGCTGTGGATGGTGATAGCACGCTGGAGGGCAGGTAGAGCAGATGAGTGCTGTTTTTTTCCAACTCAGTTTTTCTGCTGCTTTCTTGTGTGCTCTTGAAGGTAATTCTAAAAGCAGATGTCAAAAAGATGTTTGGTAGTGATGGTGTTACTGCATGTCTCATCAGTTAAATGATAGCTCAGAAGCACAGCAGTTATATTCTTATATATCTTGGGATTTTTGTTGAAGAGGAAAAAGGCAGTTATGTTCATCACGTAGGTCATAAACTTTAATGCTGATACTGGCCAATCTTCTTGCAAATGACAGCCATGTAAAATCAGGGCATAGCTATAAAATGGGAATGGTGCTCACAGCTGGCATCTTCAGAATGTGGTGAGGACAGCTGTAGTTGGCGAGGCGAAATCGTATGCTGCAAAAGCAGAAAGCATCCTGCTGTGCAAACAATGACCAGGCAGACTAGAATGAACAGGCGAGAGTTTCCTAAGGTTACCTGGAACGCCTTGCCAGGTGTTGCATTAAGTTTACTGGCCCTTGCCAACATTCTTCTAGTGCTTCCTCATTTCATTTGGCTTCTTGGCACTGCTCAGTTTTTGTGGTCTTTTATTTTGACTGTTTGCTTCGTTTCTCTTCTTAGCTCTGTAAAGTTCAACATGTGTTTATCTCTGTGGTGAAAACGCAATAAACTTGTTTAATATAATGCTGGAAGCATTAATCTATTGTGTTAGTGTGTATAGGACCTGGATTGCTGAGAAAAATAACCAGCAGTAAGAGCCTGATTGCTTAAAAATATTTAGTAAGTTTTGTCGGGGTGGGTTGGGGGGGCAGAACTTTTACATTAAATATAGATGCAGGGTTTGACAAGAAGCAGCCAGAGTGTACAGTAAGTCTTCGCTTAGTGTTGCCAATAGGCTCATGGAAACTGCAACTTTCAGCAAAATGAGGTATAATGAAACCAATTTTACCAAGGGTTTATTGATGAAAACAAGAGTTAAGTTCCTATGGCATATTTCTGGGCACAAAAACATCACCAAATTCTAAATAAAGACCTAAGACACTTCTATTATTAAATACTAATGTAATTGTGAGCTATGCAAACATTTAAGAAATATTAATAAAAATAATTATTGGCTCGGCACAGTTGCTCATATCTGTAATCCCAGCACTTTGGGAGGCCGAGGTGGGTAGATCACCTGAGATCAGGAGTTTGAGACCAGCCTGGCCAATGTGGTGAAACCTCTTCTCTACTATAATTACAAAAAAAAAATTAGCTGGGCATGGTGGTGGGCACCTGTAATCCCAGCTACTCAGGAGGCTGAGGCAGGAGAATCACTTGAACCCAGTAGACAAAGGTTGCATTGAGCCAAGATGATGCCACTGCACTCCAGCCTGGGCAACAGAGCGAGACTCCGTCTGAAAAAAATAAAGGTAATTATTTTTCCACCTACTCCGCTTCAGGGTCTAGGTGGCCAGAACCTTTCCCGGCAGCTTGGGGTGCAAGGCAGGAACGGGCCCTGGACTCAATGTCATCCCATCTCAGGGTGACTCACACACACACACACACACTCAGACTGGGACCATGTAGACATACTGATTAACCTAATGTGCACATCTCTGGGACGGGGGAGGAAACTGAAGCACTTGGAGAAAACCCACATAGACATGGAAAGAACACAAACTCCGCACAGACCAAGGCCCCGGGCCGGGAATCCATTTTTTACTTATCAGCATTATAAAGAAGTGAAATTGAGCACAAAGACGTTTTTCGAGGACCTGCTGTGGACTATGTGCTTAGAGAGATAGGCATCCTATTGTGGGGTTTTTTTCCTCCCTTCTTAAAGGAAGGTTAAATTACATCTGGGATGGCTCTTGAAATTGATCAGGGGTTCAAGCTGACTTGCATACTCTTTGGGAAAGAATTTAGAAGAATGTGTGTGAGAAAGTTTTTCCTATGCTTAAGCCTATTTCCTGACTTGACTATATGAATCAAATATTTTTACTATTCTGGAAGCATTGCATCCTGGAAAGAATGGTACTGTGCCACCTAAGTCTACCTCACACCATTGTAGCACTTGGAAGCTGAAGTTGTGATTTCTCCAAAATTAGCTAATTTTCACTGGTGTTAGGACAAAAAGCGTTGCCTCTCTTTGAAGCCACCAGTCCTCTGCCGTCCCCACTGCGAGGCCATTTCCCCCTGACCCCTTGTTTTTTTGAGACGAAATTTTGCTCTTGTTGCTTAGGCTAGAGTGCAGTGGCATGATCTCAGCTCACTGCAACCTTGCCTCCTGGGTCCAAGCAATTCTCCTGCCTCAGCCTCCCAAGTAGCTGGGATTGCAGGTGCCTGCCACCATACCCGGCTATTTTTTTAAATTATTAGTAATAGAGATGGGGTTTCACCATGTTGGGCAGGCTGGTCTCGAACTCCTGACCCCAGGTGATCCACCCACCTTGGCCTCCCAAAGTTCGGGAATTATAGGCATGAGCCACTGCGCCCGGTCTACTTTTCCCTATTTTTAAATGAAGATGTGAGCAGCCTAATGCAAGATCACATCATGTGATTCAATAATACAGCCATGGCTTAGTGTTGGCATGTTATTGCCAGTTGAGCCAATTCATATAACTCAGCATTTTATACTTTACTAAGACTAAAATGATGTGATAACATTAAATTTTGAATTACAGTTAATGTTTTTTGTTTTTTTAAAAAACACTTTTCTTAGTTAAATAATATGTGATGGTTTAAAAATCAAATATTCAGTGCAGTTCTTCTAAAATCTCTGCAAGTGTGGGGGTCATTTAGATGCTGAGCCTCCCAGCCTCTTAGCTTTCCATTCTAAGCTTCAAGAGGTAGTGGCAGCTGGCGAGACAGCTTTGTCTGAGAATGCCATTGTTAACAGAGCAGAACTGGGGACAGAGCAGCCATAGCCCGCCCTCCAGACCTGAGCATTATCACAAAGTCCAAGTTGGCTCAGACATTTGTGTTAAACCGTAACAAATATTTTAGAGAACTTCGTTGCAAATTTACTTTTGATCTCAGTCAATCCTATTCCCCGATCCCCACAAGCTTAAAAAACCACATGGGCGTGTGGGGTCTTATTTAATGCTGTGAGCAGCTGGGTCCTGTATCTGAAGTTCTGGTCTTGGAGCCTGGCGTTTGCTGCAGGTCTGCACCATCTGCCTTGGTTGATAAGGCATTTTGGAGGCCACTGATTTTAGGCAGCAGTGTTGTCAGGACACCAAAACAGCAGGATGTTGCTTGGGCCAGTAGCAAAATACATGGATTGAGCCTTTTCAGCTGAATCTTCTGGCCAGTTCTTTCTGGCTGTGTGAAGTTGTGTTGACTTCAGAGCAGGTTCCTCATGTGGCCTGCTGGGCTCTGTTAGGGTGGCCAGATGCGCTTGTAGCAGCCTTACTGCCAGGGAAGCGTATGCTGGCATCAAGAGCCCAGCACTGCTGCCAGTTGCTGTTCAGCAAGGCTAGCCCCAAACGTGATTTGCTGCAAGGATTAGCTCAACTCTGGTGACATTTATCGTGTTTTCTCATCGCTCAAATCTCAGCCCCCCCCACCAAAAAAAAGAAACAAAAAAACTAGGATTGACATTTTTAAAAAATGTGAACTCCAGAGGTGTCGGGAATTGTGTAACAGGACCTTAGAAATGTATTCGTCAAAGCAAGAGGGGAAAGATTAAAGATGGGAGATGGAAAACATAAACGTTGAGAGGAAGGCAGCACTGCGCCTAGGATCATGCAGCTTCCTTCTAGCTAGTAAATAACCGTGGCCAAATCACCTGATCTTTCTGAGCTTCAGTTTCTGTGGCCATGAAATGAGAGATTGGGCCCAGGAATCAATGTAAATTGTTAATTTCACATTTCCCATTATCGACACTATTCCCCCCTAAGTTTGATAGTTTGGTTATAATTCTTCATGCAGCTTTAAGGTTGAGTAAGTTTTGGCGGGAAACAATAGCTATCTTCATACATTTGAGAGATGTCATTTGAAAGGGGGAGATTTATATAGTTGAGCTCCAAGAAGCAGAAATGGGATCAATGGTAGAAGCTACCAAACAGAGGTTTGGCTCTAAATATGAAAACTATCTTTGGAGTGCCTCTCCTAGTTTAGATGAAAAAATTGCATCCAGTTGTAACCATGCTAGTCACTAGGAATTTTATTAATAACACATAGCTGCTGTCCTGGGAGACTTATGGTTTGATAGGGGTAAGATGGAAAGAATTGGGCAGATGTGGGTTTTGTGTTAGCAGTAGAGCCAACAGGGTACATTGGGAGTGAGGGGGTAAGAGAAGTCACATTCTTCCTAGGTTTTTAGTGTTTTCCAAAACAAGGAAAATGGGTAGGGGCATGGACAGTGACTTTAACTAGATCCGCTAAGCCGGTTGTACTGCTCGCCATCTCAGCAGGATAGCAGTAGGCAGCCATGTTGTGTAATGGAAGCATAGCTGTAGCCTGGACCAATGCCCTCTTGATGGTCTATTCCAGCCTCCGAAAATGATTTGCTAAACAAGCGCCTGAAGCTCGATTACGAAGAAATTACTCCCTGCCTTAAAGAAGTAACTACAGTGTGGGAAAAGATGCTTAGCACTCCAGGAAGATCAAAAATTAAGTTTGACATGGAAAAAATGCACTCGGCTGTTGGGCAAGGTAAGCTTTGTTGGGAATCACCTAGTCAGTCTCACCCCTCTTTGGGGATTGGGGAGAAGTGTGGAATAAAAAAATTAAGTCTAATTTTAGTGGCCATCTCCCTTCTTTTCATCACATCTTAATCTATTTCCAGATACCTTACTTAATAGATAGGAGTTTCAACCACCTTTCATGATTCCTCTTAATTAAAATTCCCAGAAGACCAGGAAATAGGAAGAAGACAGAAAAACCCAAGGGCTTGGTTACCTATAAACTGGATAATGATTTGATGATATACTTGGAATTAAATTATAAACTAGAAACTAATCGTATGGCTTCTCTCTGGGTGCCTTAGGGAGACAGCATAGGGTATGGAGCACAGACTTCAGACAGGTGGTTTTGGGTTTAAGTCCCAGCCCTGCCGCTTACTTTTGCAGTGTGATCTTAGACAAATGCCTCACCCTCTCTGGGCTGCAGTTTCCACAAGTGTAAGATGTGGGTGGTGACAGTGGATGTTATGAGGAGCACACAGCATGTGTCTGCCATACTGTAAGGCCTTAGAGAGCGGGCAGGATTCACTGTTTTCTCAGTGTGATCTGCCAGCCCAAACTGTTACTGGTCTAAGAAGAGGAGATAAGTACAGAAGTTGAGACTAAGTGTTTGGAAATGTTTCTGGCAATTTGACACAGTGATCCTAATAAAAAAATGTGGATTTACGTTTTGTCCATCTTACCTTTTTTTCATTTTGTTTTTCTACTAATTTATTTTTACTGTATGGTATAAAAAATCAGTCTGTAGTGGATTGGAACATTTTTTAAAAACAAAAAAAAAATTGATGTTTCACAGATAGTTTGAAAAGTGCTGTTTTGGAGCTTACCTTAGTCATGATTAGTGTTCTAGTCAAACAATGATTTATTTTAAAATGTGTGTTAATGTCTTCTGGCAAGAGTAAAAGTCTGAGTCTGATCTGATTCTATGCTACTGAGTTCCAGTTGAGCTGATCATGAATAACCAGGTGTTTTGAATAAGGGTTGCAAATATGTACAGAATGGGTTTTTCCTGGCTTTATCAGTTGTACAGTGGAAAAACATTGCATGTGTATTTTTCATCTCTAGGAGCATTAATGGAACAAAGCAGTATTTTCTACTATAGTCTTTTAGGCATTTTTTACCCTTTTCTGAATTTTGACATCGATTTTAGTAATCATAGGTAGTTACTGTTTGTTATGCCTTTCTCCTTTCTAGGGATAAGCACACTTGGGCTTAGAGCAGCTGAGTAGTGGCTCAGGCCACAGAGCTGGGTTCACACCACCGTACTGCACTGTCTCCTGTTGAACAGGATCTCAAGGTGCTTTTCTCAGAACATGTATGCAGTGGTGAAGACTGAAATGCTGTATTCACAGCAGCTTTCAGTGTGACTTTGGCAGGTACCCTCTTTCTGGGCTCCTGCCTCTTTGCTGATAGAATGAGAGACTTGCACCAAGCTGAGGATCTTGGAGCTCTCTTCGAGTCTTAATATTCCTTGCACCTGTAGCTGTCACTTAAGGTTTACCCTTACACCAAATGGCTCCAAATTGCCGCTTTGAAAAGGCAGAAAGCAGAGAAAAGAGTGAGCCTGTTCTTCCCCCTTTCACGTTTGCCTAGATGATCGCCTTCAGGTGTCTTTCCTTCTGTGAAAGGCCAATTGCTGTCTGTGACAGCATTCCAAATATTTGAGCTTCTTAGAAGCCTGGCACCTGGATATTTGTTTTTCATTGGGCATATTATGTGGAGGCTAATAGAAATACTCCAGGAATCTGGACCCTGGGTAGTGAAAATCGGGCATAGATGATTGAACGTTCTATATACTGGAGTGAGCTAAGGCTGACCTGGAATTTCCTTAGGTATTCCCTGACTTTGCCATGTCACTTTTTATGGCAGAACTCTCTCTAACCATAAAGGGGGCTTTTGTCAATCAGGTGGTTTTAACACATTAAGATTTAACAACTCCAAACAAATGATGCTGGTCTATTTAGTGGCTCAGAGTAAAAATGTGAATCTAAAAATGTGAGACTAAATTAGAATCATATCTTTGACCTTTGAAGTAGAGGCTAACTCTGGCTCAGAGATCTTGAAAGAGAGGACAGTTGTGTAGATTAAGAGGCCCTTCCTCGGCCGGGTGTGGTGGCTCAGGCCTGTAATCCCAGCACTTTGGGAGGCCAAGGCAGGTGGATCACAAGGTCAGGAGTTCAAGACCAGCCTGGCCAACATGGTGAATCACCGACTCTACTAAAAATACAGAAATTAGCTGGGCATGGTGGCATGTGCCTATAATTCCAGCTACTTGGGAGGCTGAGGCAGGAGAATTGGCTTGAACCAGGACCCAGGAGGCGGAGGTTGCAGTGAGCCAAGATCACGCCACTGCACTTCAGCCTGGGCTACAGAGTGAGACTCTATCTAAAAAAAAAAAAAAAAAAAAAAGAGGCCCTTCCTCGTAGTGATGTAAAACACCCTGAAATGACAGAAATAAAGGAATTTATAAAATTTTCCCAGTTAAAATTAGATGAGGAGGCAGGATTAGGGTATCAATTTAGGAGAAGATAGTATAATTATAGATAATTCAGTTTAGTTCAGGTCAAAATGATTTCTCTAAAGATATCTAGATAGAACCTTATAAGCTGGAATGTATTTTTTAGGAATGAGATTGCAGAGTGGCTGCCTGAGCTTCTGACAGTAAGGGCAGAGGTAAACTCTGCTTACCTTTGACCCAGCAATGCCAGTTATAGAAACATACTCTAGAAATGAATCAACCAAAAATGTACTGTAGTAAGAATGCTTATTGTGGCATTGTTTAATAGCCAAAACAAAACAGAATACCCAACCATGTGACTATTCTATGTCATATTCCCTGAAAACGACATTGTAAGTAGGTCTGTATTTACTGATGTAAAAGATGTCTGACATAAGTTGTTAAATGAAAAGAGTACAGCATGGTCTCCTGTGCAGCTGAGAGTTCTCTATGTGTATACATGGAAAAACATCTATGATGCAGGTATCCGGGTCATAGGCAGGACTCCTCTCCTGGCAAAATTATTAATAGCTTTCCTCCTCCTCACTTCAAAAGCTTCCTGCTTTGGATGGTGAATATGTGTTCATTCTAGTTATGAGTGGTTTTTCACTTTCTTTATACCTTTTACATTTTCAGAGGTTTTTTTTTTTTTTTTTTTTTTTTTTTTTTTTTTTTTTTTTTTTTTTTTTTTTTTTTTTTTTGTCCTCCTTTTAAACAGTGAGTATATATTACTTTTTTAGGTGAGGAAGAAGCAATTTACATGGGGGGTGGAGGAACAGCCTCCTGCCCACCCAGACCCTGCCTGCAAGCCCTAGGCGGGCTCCACTGCCAGGTTTCCCTCTTGGATTAGGAGCGAAGGTAGCACCACACTGGGGAAGGGTGTTCTTAGCAAAAACATGGGGTCCAACCTGTGTGATCCTGTGCTTTCAGTCACAGAATCTAAGCTTACTCCTGAATACCACAATATCGGTTACTGTCCAATGACACAGCCAATATTTATTTCTTCCAAAAAGTAAAGGTCTGATAAGACAATGGGAATTATTTAGTAACAGGAAATTGGACATTTCATAACTTGGGAAAATTTTCCAGTTTGAAGAAAAGTATTTTGTGAAATAAAGCTCCACTCTAAATCACTTACCATGCTGTTTTCCAGCCCACATTTACTTGTCATCAGGGTGTGAAGTATTTGTGGGGAGAGAGAGAGAGAGAGAGAGAGAGAGAGAGAGAGAGAGAGAGAGAGAGAGAGAGTGTGTGTGTGTGTGTGTGTGTGTGTGTGTGTGTGTATGTGTGTGTGTGTGTGTGTGTGTATGTACGTACCCAGGATATATCTATGCGCTGGAATAGCAGAGAGGGAGACAAGAAATAGAAGATAGCAGAAAGCAGATATCAGGGTGTATTTGTTTCCTGTTGCTATTGTAACAAGTTACTACAAAAATGGCGACTGAAACAACAGAAATTCTTCTCTCAGTGTTCTGGAAGCCGAAACTCTAAAACCATGGTGTCAGCCTGTCTGCAGTTGGCCTCCTCCGGCTGCTGGTGGCCATCAGCTTCCTAGACTTGTGGCCACGGCACTCCAGCCTCTGCCCCCTTGGTCGCATCTATTCCCCTTCTCATCTCCTCCTCTGCATGTCTATTATAAGGATGCTTGTCCCTGGATATAGGCCCACCTGGATAATCCAGGATGCTCTCCTCCTCTCAAAGTCCTTGCTTAATTAATTCTGCAAAGAAGGGCAACATTTACAAGCTCCAGGAATTAGGAATTGAACACATCTTTTTTGAGGGGCCACCATTCAACTCACTCTACAGAGTCATTATATTAATGCTGAGATAAAATTAAAGAAGGTATAGGATGTGGTCATGATTTACTGGGGCCCTGTATTTCTCCTACAGGCCAACTTAAAAAAAAAAATGATATGTGAAAGGGAAAAAACAAAGTACTTACTACACAGTAAGTACTTCCAAGAGGTGACTCACTGAGTCCTTGTGAATCTGTTAATAAAATGATTACTATTTGGTTCAAATCAACAGATGGTTGTTTTATCATTCATTGCAAGATAGAAAATATATCTTGCAATGAATGACCAAAAGATATTTTTTCTCTAGTCCCCGTTTGAGTAGCAGCCTTGTTTGACATTTTCGACATGGAGGACACCAAGAGGAAATGGCAATCAATGTCCCTGGGCTGTCACTCACCGGCTAATGACCTGGGGCAAGGGACCTATTCTCACTGCCTCTCTTTTCTTTACCATGAGGATAATTGTGTTTCCCTTAGAAGGCTATGAGGGTGATATGGACCAATATACGTAACGTGTGGAATGGCAGCGGTGCACAGTGGCCCCACGATCAGTGCTGTCTGCTGCTGCTACCTTGCCAGAGCAGAAACTTTTCCCAAGGGTGACCAGAGACAGAAACCAGAGAAACCATCCTCTGGGCAGGCTCTGAGTGGCAGGACAGGGTACAAAGTGGCTTTTTTCCCTGGATGGAAAGAAAGATGAATTCCTAACTCGGAGGCTTCTTTCTCCAGAGAGACGAGAAAGACTTGGCATCTGATTCTTCAGTCTTCTTGCTCTCCCCCTTCCCACCTTTTGGCCTTGTAATAGCTGAGGAATGAGCTAAAGAATTTTGGTGGAAAACTGTTGCCTTTTAAAATTAGGTTTGCCTTGAATAACATCCTTGACTTCAAGAGAACTTTTCTGAGTTTTAGACGGTTTTTTTAATCACTGTGAGTATTCAAATCAATCACAGGTACAGCATTAGGTGGAGGCTCGTGGACATTTTCTGTTTTTAGGCTTTGTTGGATGCTCATGGCAGTGTCTACGCGGTCAGTTCCTGCCCAGCCTCTGGGCCTGTCTTGCAGCTTATCTTGCAGAAAGAAGCCTCACCAGAATTCCAGAATCTCAGCTATGATCAGCTTACACCATCTCAGCTCAGAAACGTTCAGTGGTTCCCTGGAGCTAGCAAACAAAGTGCAGGTTTCTTGCCCTCAGTTTTGCCTCTGACAGTAGCCCTTCCAGCCTCCTTGCCAGCTGCTCTTTCCATGCACCCTTGTGCCTGAGGCAAACTGAATCACTCTCGGTTCCCTCTCTCTGGTGCTCTTCTCTCTTCCTTTTCCTTCATCTTTAAGGCTTGGGTCAAATGAAGGATTCTGTGGAAACTTGATTGCTCAGTTAGAAATAAGCCAACTTCTCCTTCATCTGAGCTCTGTTTCCTTTTGATTCTCTCTTGTTTCTGAGATCCTGTCTTACAATACAGTTTTTCATACTTGGCCTTATTTGCCTAGAATGTCGATCATTGACACCAGGGCTCAGGTCATATTCTTTATTCCTTGCAGAGTCTGATAGGGTCAGAACGTGATAACACATTGGAGAAGTGAAAAGAAAGAAGGAAGGGGCCAGGGAAGTGAGGGGAGAATGGGGTGTGGAAGTAAGGGAAGAAGCAAACAGGACAAGGTTTTAGTTGCCTTCTTTCTGTTCCTGTGCTGTTAATTAATAATGGAACTAGTGGCCAGGCACGGTGGCTCATTCCTGTAATCTCAGAACTTTGGGAGGCTGAGGCAGGAGTATTGCTTGAGCCCAGGAGTTTGAGACAAGCCTGGTCAGCGTAGTGAGATCCTGTCTCTACAAGAATAAAAAGATAATTAGCCAGGTATGGTGGTGGGCACCTGTAATTCCAGCTACCCAGAAGGTTGAGGTGGGAGGATCATTTGAGCCCAGGAGGTTGAAGCTGCAGTGAGCTGTGATTGTGCCACTGCACTCCAGCTTGAGTGACAGAGCCAGACTCTGTCTCAAGAAAAAAAAAAAAAGGAACAAGAATTTGGATACATGGAACATGAAACACAACTGATTTTTATTATTAAGCTGTATTCTATGGATAAATTATCTCTGTATCTTCTATTCCCCCTTTTAAAGGTGTGCCACGTCATCACCGAGGTGAAATCTGGAAATTTCTAGCTGAGCAATTCCACCTTAAACACCAGTTTCCCAGCAAACAGCAGCCAAAGGATGTGCCATACAAAGAACTCTTAAAGCAGCTGACTTCTCAGCAGCACGCGATTCTTATTGATCTTGGTAAGCCTGTGCCATCGATTAGAGATGAAATGGAAGTTTCACTTACATGAAAAATCTGAAGAGACTGTCTGAGTTATTTAGTGACCTGCCTTTAGGCTTAGCAATCAAAATTTACTACCGAGACTTTTAATTTAAAAAGCCCTAGGGTAATCATACGTGTCGTCTTCAAGCATAGAAAAATCTCCGTATTTTCACTGGGTAGCCTGTTAACTTGGCTTTGCATGGAGGGCGGGTGTTTATTAAGGCTGCAGCCATAACTGTGGTTCAGTCCAGTAACTCAAATACTGATGAGAGGTTTTTATAGTCAACTGAAGGAGCATCCTGGAAAACGTATAGATGTTCAAAACTGAGGCTTGGTTTAATTACAGGAGCCACTCCCTCATTTTCACTGCTTACAAACAGATTTCATCAGAAAAATTACAGAACGCGGTTTGTGTGTGTGCCTTGAATGATTTTATTTTGGAAACTGGGTGGCACCTTGTCTCTTGAGTAGTTTTAAAAATATGAAGATGGGAACAGGGTGCAATCGGCACCCCATCCTCCGCCACATCTATGGGTTCTGAATTTGGGGGCTCAACCACCAACCTCAGATGGAAAATATTTGGGAAGAAAAATCAATGAAAAAATAATAGATTTTAAAATATAGTCACTGTCTCCAGAGGATTTACATTGTATTAGGTGTTATAGGTAACCTGTAGATGATTTAAAGCGTATAGGAGGATGTGCATAGGTTATGTGCAAACGTGGCACCACCTTATAGAAGGGCCTTGAGCACCGTGGGTTTTAATATCTGTGGGGACTCCTACAGCCTGTCCCCTGAGGATGCCACGGGATGACTGTATGGGATAGATTTGCCGTTGCCACTGTGAAGAACTTGTTGAACTGGGTGTGATTATGATGCACAGAGGGCCCTCCTGACTTGTCAGTGGCCATGCATGGGGTCAGGTGGCAATGCATTCTGTTTGCCTGCTGCCTGTCACCCAGGCTGCTGTCTGTACTGGTGGTGAGCTGGCTCGATGTGGCAGGAGTTTGGCCCTGCTGCTTTTAGAGCCTGTGGCCCTGCTTCCAGAATACCTGTTCTGCTTGCGGCTGCTGCTGAAGGCTGCATACCGCACTCACTGCTTTGGCGCCCTGCAGGGGCCCAGTTCTCTGAGTGTTCCTGCAGCCACGACAGAGGGTGCAGTGTGAACACATCGGGCGGTATTAAGTCCTTTTCTCTCAAACCACGTAGCTAGCCTTAAAGGTTAATTTCATAACGCTTAAGGTTATTCTTTAGCTTAAATGTCATCTCTGAGAAGCTGTCCCTGACTGTGGTCTCCTGTCCCACCTGAAGACTGGATGAGGTGTCCTGCTAAGCCCCCCATAACACCCCACACTCTCCCCATGATGTGTATCACATTTATCACCATCACTGTTATCTGCTTATTATCATCACTGCTGATGCCTAACTTCACCTTGGGCCGAATGTTGTATGAAGGACTTAAACTGTCTTTAATTCTTATACCACGATCAGGTAGATGTTGTTCTATTTCTCTTCAGAGTTGAGAAAATAAAAACAGAGAGGTTAAGTAACTTGCTGAAAGTGACACAGCTAATTTGCCGCTAGGCAGTGTGACTTCAGAAGTGACACTTTTTTTCAACTTTTATTTTAGATTCCAGAAGTATGTGTGCAGGTTTCTTACAAAGGTGTATTGTGTGATGCCAGGATTGGAGTATGATTGAACTCGTCACCCAGGAAGTGAGCATAGACCCAATAGGTAGTTTTTCACCCCCTGCCTCCCCTCCCTCCCCCTCTAGGAGTCCCCAGTGTCTTTTGTTCTCATATTTATGTCCATGTGTACCCAATGTTAAGCTCTCACTTAGAAGTGAGAACACGTGATGCTTAGTTTCTGTTTCTGCATTAGTTTACTTAGGAGAATAGCCTCCAGCTACATCCATGTTGCTGCAAAGACATGAGTTTGCCCTTTTCTGTGGCTGCCTAGTACTCTGTGGTGTATATGTATCACATTTTCTTTATGTAGTTCACTGTGGATGGGCATGTGAGTTGATTCCATGTCTTTGCTGTTGTGAATAGTGCTGAGTGAATATGCGAGTACATGTGTCTTCTTGGTAGGAGGATTCATTTTGCTTTGAGTATATACTCAGTCACGGGATTGCAGGGTCAAATGGTAATTCAGCTTTTAGTGGAATTATACTTTTTACTCCACCTCCCCCAACTGTTCTTAGTATATGGCAGTGGCTTTTTATTGCCTTTCTCCCTTGTAGGATGCAGCCCTCTGCAGACTGGGCTGCGGCTGTTTGCTGTTGTACCCTCGGCTCCTAGGACAGTGGCTATCACACAGCAGATGCTCAAAGAATCTCTTTGAGACTCAGAGTATGAGGCACTGCACTAGCACGGCCGTCTCATGGGCCCTCACAGCAGTCCTGGGAAGGTGGCCAGCACCCTCTCTAAGAAATGAAGAAACTGAGGTCATGCGTTGACCATGCTCACAAAGTCAGCTGAGGGGAGGTGGCCGGAACTGAACCCACTGTCACTCTGTGCTTCCCTGGGACCCTCTGAGCCCAGGAGCCCCGTACTGCTGTGCAGTGGCAGCCAATGTTGAGTCTTGATGGAGCTGGGGCCCATGTGGCCCACTGACCCTGTGGAAGGCAGTTTTGTGAGTTGGCAGTAGCTGTGTTTGCAGTCGTGATATGTAACAGGAAATGCCATCGTGTTCCTATCATGTGAAGCAAAGTGAGAAATAGGGTCAGAGTAGGAGGCTGAATGGGAGGGAGGGTAGCCAGCCCTACTCCCCACCCTCGCTCACAGGCTGGGAGGAGCGGGAAGGGCGTCTCCCCTCCTCGATTCGGCTGCCCTCTTCTCTGCATTTGCCTGCAGTCTCCCCTCATTCTTCCACGGGCAGGACCAGCTCCTGCTTCATGTTGCTCAGATGTCATCACTTTTCTGCAGAGGGAAAAGAAGAGGCCAGATCAGCATAAGGACCTCGGTGTGGCTGGGCTCTCTCCTGGGGCACCATGTGTGCCTGCACCCCACTGCGGCCTCTCCTGCAGGGCTGGACACCTTCCCTGAGCTGGCAGGAGGTCTGTGGGAGCCCGGGGATTAGCCTTTCTCATCCACTGGCAGGGCTGCCTGCATTCAAGTCCTCTGCCTGCATCTCCCTGCCCTCTCCCTCTGCCGCTCCCATCCCTGCCAGCGCTGGCCCCCTCTGTCTTCCCCACTCTTTCCCATCCTGGCCTCCAGTTTGGATGCCCTCCACATACTTCCCGAGGGCCTGAGAGGACCTTCACTTGAGGTCACTCTGTGTCTCTCTCCAGGCTTTTTCCTGGGATCCCTGAGGGCAGTCTCCTCTCCCCACTGGAACCGGGAAACTGGGGTTGGCCCAGACCTGGCAGTGGAGTCCCAGGTGCCCTGGCTGACTCCGCCCAGGGAGGTCTCCCTCAGAAGCTCCTCCAGGCCTCACCCGTTCCATCCCCGTCTCCTCTCACCCAAGGCCGCGCTGGGGCCAAGTCAGTTGTTAAGTCTACACTACGGTTACCTCAAGGTCCAGTGAAGGTGTTAGCATAGAGCAGAAGCAGATCCGGATTTCAGTTTTTCTTAAAAAGTGACTTTCATATTCTTGCCAGAAGAACAGAATACTTGGTTGGATATATTTTGAGTTTCCGTGGGGTATTTTTTCCTGCCTCTTGCTATGCTTTCTCAAATTGGCTTTTAGTCTAAACAGGTTTTTTTTTTCAAAGTGTTTTCCTCCAAAGAGTAAGAATAATAGGCCTCATAGCTGGGTAGTGTTTTATAGTTTGTGAACTATTTTCTCAGCCTTTGTCAGATCTCATCGTTACACACTCTGTGTGAGATTGGGCACGTGCCATTATTTCCAGCTTAGAGGAGATGAACAAGCCCCGGGGAGCTTCCGTTCTCTGCCCACAATGCGAGTTACTCGGTGGCAGAAGGAGTCCTGGAAGCCAGGTCTCCTCAGTCTCCTTGCCACATCCCTTCTAGGGTGCCATAATTCTGTGTTTCTTGGCTCTGCCCACTCCATCCTCACGCAACTGTCCCCACTCTGCTTTGGTAGAATCATGTTTCCTTGGAGATCACACTAGCCAGAGGCAACTGCTCTGAGCCTAGCACATGATACTCACATAGTCTTCTCGAAGCCTGGGGTCAGGAGCCTGCCCCATCCATCTGCATCCATTTGTCCAGCCCTCAGACAGTTGACACCATTTTCTTTTCTCTTCTGTGACTCTCCTGGAATAGACAACACGGACTGCACAGCAGCCTGCCTTCTGTCTGGGGCTCCCGCTGTGGTCCTGGCCACACTGGGGGCTGCCAGTGACACTGGGAAACTCCCAGGGGACCCCTTCAGGCTTCACGTCATCTGCTCGCTCCCCAGCATCCTGGCCTAGAACACTTTCCAGCCATCAGCTGCATTCCCCAGTGAGGCGTGCAGCCCCTCCCAGGATCAAAGGGCTTCAGCCAAAAGAACGCTTTAACAGGTCCAGAAACCCAGGAGCACCGTTAAGTCAGAAAGCTGAAAAAAGAATGCACCTAATCTCCCCCACATCAATTACTACTATAGATTTGTTAACCTGCATATTATAGGTCCGTAAGGGGGTGGCACAGTTTAAAATCCCTGCAGGGAATCATACCCTGCTATCCCAGATCTTCATCCGGGAAGGAATCTTCGAGATCATTAGGTTGTGGGGTTTTTCTTCTGCAGAGGAGTTAGAGGGTCAGTGTCAGATTGCTGGTTTGCCAGTACCACTGCCTGGAGAAAAGAGCAAAAGAAAGAAGCTTGTTAGTCAACTGTTCAGAGGCACCATGAGACTGCCTATCTTCGTGGGTGGCCCCGTGTTTGGTGCAAGAGATCTCTGGCCTCCAGTAGCAGCTGCCACATAGTAAACAGAGCCGAGATGTCAGGGGTCTTGCTGAAAATGCAGTCAGATGGGCTCTGAATAGAATAAGGCAGGACCCTCTAAGACGGGATGGGGTTCCTCACAGCACC